TCACGGGGCGCGGCGGGAGCCCAGGCGCGGGCGGGCGGCGGGCCGGGGGCGGCGGCGGAGCGGTCGGCTGCCGGCGGGCGAGGCGAGGCCGCCCCGGCGATGCCCTTGTGAAGTGCGGAGGCGGCCGGAGAGCGCTCCGCGGAGCTGCCCGTCGGCGGGGCGGAGGAAAGCGCCCGCCCTCCCTCCGCGTTCACCATTAAGAGGAAGGCGATGGAGGAGCTGAGCGCGGATGAGGTGAGGCGGAGTGCCGGGGCGCGGGGCCCGGCGGTGCTGCTGTCCCGGCCGCTCGCCTCGGCGCTTCGTTTGGAGCGCAGCTTTGTGCTGAGTGCCGGCGCTTCGTGCGCCTCCCGGGTGTGATTTCCAAAACGATGATCAAATCTTTCTTTTACCCGTAGCGAGACGCTTAAAATACCGCTTTGTCAGGGGAGCGAGGTGCGGACTGCGCGCCTGGTGCCGTTTTGTTTCCTCACCGTCGCTTGGTTGCGGTCCTAAGGCGCTTCATGGCCGATCGCTGCTCTGACCGGGCCTGCTTGGCAATCGCGTGGTTGCTTCTTATTGCTATGGAAGAGCTGGAGTCTGTCAGTCAGTCTGTCTGTCTGTCTGAGGACTCCTTTGCACCTCCGCTTTGCTGTTCTCAATGCGGTGCAGCCCGGATCGCAGTTAGGCTGTACAGAAAGCAGCATTCTCACTGAGGTGTTTCTGTCTTACATCGTGTGTGAGTTCTGTCTGAAAACCTCTTATCTGGCAGTAGCCGAACTTGAAATTAGCTGCAAGGCGCCTGTAGGTGAGGTTATCTCCTTATATTTGACTGTATTGTGTGCAGGTAACAGATCTTAACTCTCAGAGAGGAGAGATGAATGCAGTCGATGACTGGCGTTGTGATGTAGAATGCATGTTAACTTCAGATGTTTACCACTGCAGTCTCTCGCTGAAGTTTTCTCTGTGTTTACTTTGTTAAAGCACCAAAGGGAGGTGGTGGAGTCACCGACCTTGGAGGTGTTCAAGGAACATTTGGATTTTGTGCTGAGGGACGTGGTTTAGTGAGAACGATTGGTGATAGGTGGGTGGTTGGACTGGATGATCCTGTAGGTCTTTTCCAACCTTGGTGTTTCTGTGATTCTGTGAAAGTTGTCTTTTGTTACAGCCCATGCCAAAACCATCATGGATCTGGGAGAAGCAAAAATCCTCTTTTTGGTGTGAATTTTAGTGTGAGTGCTTGATAATATTGTGAGAATTGGGAACTGTGTAGGAAAAAGCAAAGTCAAGCTGAGTATGTCATGAAGTGGGACAGAATGAGGTGAACCTGGTGTGTTTCATGTACAGCTGTTGAGTAGCTTGGAGTTGTGCTGTGTGCCTATGGACCATGAGCAACATCCCCAGGAAATGAAGCATGCCTTAAGCTTGGTTAACATGCTGTAAGAATACAAATTACAAGCTGCAAAGAATTCCAATTACACCTTATTGTACAAAGGTGGGATTTCTTCTCTGGCTGCAGAAGTAGAAACATTTTCTTTAGAAGCTCATGAAGCAGTTTCTACTAAAACAGATGTTGTCTGTGAAATTATGTACAAATCTGAGCTGAGGTGCTTGAGCCCAAGGGAGCAGTTCTGCCTGTATGCTTACAGCTCTGCTGTGTGCTTCAGTTATCAGCTGCTTTAACAGGCTGCTATTTTTACATTGGTTGTCACAACATGTCCAGCTAACAGCTTTTTGGAAGCCCATTTATATCAAAAATATATTTCTGAAAGTTACTGTCCCAAGACCAAATGTATCCGGCAAGAACTGTACTAATTAATAACACGGTGCCTTTTCCATTCAGCCAATTAGATATATATATATTTTTTTCATTAAGCTTTTAAACTGTGCATTATGGTGGAGGGAAGGTAGGCTATGGAACAAACAGTGCTGATGTAGTAATTGGTACCAAATAACTTGTTGCTGTTGGGCAATGTAGTGACACAGCGCTTGTCATAGGTTGCTGTTGCAAGCAGTGCTGCTGAAATCAAGGGTTAGGCATTGTTGAGGGTATCCTA